CCACCTGGACTCTTCCGCGAGGTACCGCCGGCCTTTCTGCTCTGGGGTTTGTCCGCCGGGAGTCTCCCCAGGTGTCATGGGTCCGAGCCTCACGTTGGGCGATGACTCGGCAGTCATTTCTCTCCGATATCGGTCGTCGTTGTTTTAAAATCCCTTTGCTGTTACCCTGACAGGAGTGAAACAGAAACGCTGCTTGCCTGCCTGCTTTCGTTTTCCTTTGTTGCTCTTTTTTGCTGCCGGGTGCGTTTTGGGGGTGATTTTCAACGGCGATCTCGGGTCCACAGCCGGGAACGCTGTGTTTTTCCTTTTCTTCTCTTTTCAGCACGGAATAAACCCTGGCTTGTTCATTTCGTGTATCACACCGTATGTTAAGTATTAAATTAATATTAAAAATAAAAGTAGGGAACTTGAACAGAGCCAGGTTACTCAGCCGAACGAGGGCAGTTCTGACCGCTGCACTCCTGCACTGGCCTTTGTCATCGTCTGGGGGCGTCGCGGTCTCTTTGTGTGGAGGGTTAGGGATTTCTGCACTGGCACATTGAGGGAAGGTGAGAAGTTAGATATGAGGCTCCCAGGGTGTTTCTCGAAAAGACTAGGGGTGTTACCCCGGTGTCCTGGCTAAATTTCCCATTGGCCCTTACCATGCTCTCATCTCACAATTGCTTCAGCTCCTAATCTCTTAAACTTTTCTGTTTTCGGGACCAGTGACTCATGCTGGATTCGAAACTTTTATTGAAAACTGAGACCACATTTTCTCAAAAGGTTTTTTTTTAAACGCGATGAGGGGCAGGTTCTAACCACAGCAACAGGTGACATGAGTTGTTTAGGATATGTGGTTTAATTGACAGGTCAGTGTGAAGTTTAAATGTCGCAGCTCAATCACATTTTGAGTATGAACCCCTGCGCATTAAGCAAATACTGTAATTATATAAAAAGAACAGCCATGATGTAAAGCTAGAACTATATTTATACAATACGGTTCAAAGCATTACATGAAGTAGTTCCCCTTGATTTTAAAACACAGGAGCCTTTCCTTATGTCATATGCAAAGGCTTGTGGCAGAAGGTCATAGAAAAGGACAATATTTGTACCCAGAGAAACCTGGGCATTTGAGCATGAAGCATTGCTCTGTAAGGAAATTCATAAAGCAGTACTTATGCTATGTAATATCTAACATTTGCTATGCAATTTCCAGTTCCATACTGGAAATGCTCTGCAGATCGCTTATGCAACCACATACTTAAGGCCGTGTGTGTGTGAGGCTTGGTTTATGTTTAATTTTAGATGCGTTACTGGAACATAGACTGCTCCGTTGCATAACCTAAGATCAATGCTCCACAAAATCGTAATGTATTTCTGCAGGCTCTCGAAACCATTCTCTTGGTTTTAAAAAGACTTTAAAAAATAGCTGGTTACTAGCAAGGAGTAAGACTGGAGAGGCAGACACTGACATCACAGCATCTCGCATGTGTCAGCGCAGGAAGGCAGTCGAGGAGGGAGAGAGGGAGTCCCAGGGCCCGGTCTGTCTCCACAGCCCGAGGGCATCGCTCTGACTGACGAGGAGGAAAGACAAGTGGGGGGGAGGGCCTGTGAGCTGGAGAGAGGCCAGGCCAGGTGGAGGGTCCCAGGGTACCTGAGTTAGGCCCGGTGTTTCCCAGACCAGATAGCTCAGAACTGGCTATCCTCGTCCCGGGTCAAGTCCCGTTCCTGCAGATTTCGCATCTCAAACGTAAAATGAAAGTTATTTTCTCAGTCAAGCCAGGAGCGACTAACCGTGGTCCTGGAAGGCTGTAGGATATTTGTGTTCTGGTTGCAGACTGAATCCCTTGCTTACTGTACTGCGACTCGAGGCCTGGAGTCTCGTGACCTCGGGGCTAAAGCAGCAGCAGTGCTACACCTGCTGTATCTATTGATGGTCTCAACCCACCTCAAAGAACAGTATTCTGCGGACACAAAGGGGTTTGATCAAATACCTGGGATCATACCACCTAAACCGTTTCCATTATACAGTATATCCCCTTGATCTTTCATGTTTATGGACTCTGAACCACGTGCCTTGGACACGGAGCTGTAATGCACAGAAATGACTGAAATAGCCATGGTTTATTATTTTGTGCTGGGAATTCATTCATTGGCGAAGAACCATTGAAAACCCATGAAAAGTAACTGGGTCTCGTCACAGGCAGGAACAAGTAAAGGGATGGAAAATGAGAGACGAGTGGCCTCCTCTCCTATGTACCCATTCATGTCTGTGCAGGTTATGAACACGAACGATGCACATAAAAGTGATCGGTGTGTTCACAGAGCAAATCCAGACAGATGTGGTTTATACCTGTTATTACCTAAAAGAAAATCAATAATTATCGCAATGACTGGTTGTGGAAACTGCAGGTATAGTTGTCTTATTTTCCCCCCTTATACTAATGGGGAGACTAGCCACTAGCCTTGCTAGTGCACAGTTAGGCGGTATTGTAGAAATAGGAGGAGCATTTCTAAAGCCCGACTGTGTGTTTGAGGCATAATTCAAAGTGATTGACCCTAAACCCCGAATCAAAGTTTTTTTTTTTGTTTCCACTGCTTTCGGCCCTGCGTCGCAGGCTGTCGGACGGTTTGGACGAAAGTGCTGCTAAGTAGATTTCAAACGACTACACTAGTCTCTGGACAATGCTGAAGTCTGAACATGGTGATTGTGCGACTGAGTGGCCAGAGTGTGTGTGTGGGTAAAATAGCTAACAAAGTGGGATATGGCGATGTGCAGTACTTCCTGTCACATGTTTGTTTGAGGAACGGAATAACGTTTCTTATGAATCGACAGTTTGTGGTGGAGACTCTGTTCTCCCCAAGATTTGTAAGCCAATGTAAATATTCCAGGAATTGAATCACTGTTGCCAGTTTAGAGAGTTGTGAGTTTTGTCACTGGAGGAAGTTGTTTCCAGTCCTGGGGAAGTGCTTCTCTTATGGCCCATGAATAACAGGCCGTGTCGTCTTAAAAAGTGATTCATGATTTGTTTTTTTTAGTTGTACGAAGTGTAGAGTTTACTCATCATTGCTTTTGAACAGTCTAGTCTAAAGAAGTCTTAGAAAATAGATTGTTCTTTAAAGAAAAGCTTGACAGATTCAACTTTGGACCGTATTGCTGACTTTGTTACTGTTGCTTGTGAGCGTGTCCACTTCCATTTACAGCATCACTATAAAGACTATCTTTGTCAGGAATAAACTTTAGCCTTAACTTCTTATCTATGGAATAATATAATAATATATTAGATTTATACTTCCTGCAGTGCAGTAAATCTGGCCTTGTCTCACGTCTGTGATGTAGATAATCCAGACACTATCAGTGTATCAGCAGTCACATGAGCAAGACTAAAGAAACCTGAGCTAGAAAATGGCATTTTATTGTGATGAGAATGTTTCCTGAAGGCTTTCTTTCCCTGCAGACATTATTGTACTTAAGATAAGCCTTGTTCATGTGACTGCACTGGGGTTCTTCTTAGGCAAGATGCCACATGAAAGCAGTCTTGTGTGAATCTGCTTGTTACTTGGAAAATGTTGAGCTGTGTTTTTATACCACTATATGTTTTTATACTATACTTTTTGCATTCTGCAAAACGTTGTTGTTCTTCATCGTTTAAGTGATGCACGAGTGTTACAGATCAACACAGACTGCATTGCATTGCAGCGCGATGGGATTCCAGCAATGGAGGATGTTGCTGACTTATTTCTTGTGCTTCACGCAGGACCTTATGCAGATGCTCACGGAGGTGGCCGATGGTTTTTGCTGCAGGTCTAGCTGGTGTTATGGGGGACGCCTGAGGATGTTTTAGGGGTGCTCATTAGATCTTGCTGGGGCCCACCCGGAGGTTATTCTGTTGTAATCGAGTTTCCCCTTTTCTTCTTCCTCAGAAGCGGATGCCTACGGCAAGCCCCCCTGTTACGAGGAAGCAGTGATGATGGAGGACCCCCCTCCCCCGTACAGCGAAGTCCTGGCTGACTCCAGGGGGGGGACGTACACCAAACTCGCTGCCGGGACGTCCCGGAAACAGCACGACCCCGAAACTAGCAAGACGGCCCCGGAGGCCGTGTTGTCGGACAGGAGCTACGCCCCGCTCATCCACCTCCCTGGGTCGGAGCACTGGGACTCCCTGGGTCGCCTGCTGTCCACCGTCGACCTGAACCGCAATAACCTGCCCTCGCGCCCGCGCGCAGGGGTGCTGTCCCCGACTCTGACGGGCAGCGGGCGCGTGGGCGCGGAGCTCAGGAGGGCCGTGCTGCTGCCCGACCGGACTTGCACCTTACCCACCGCCTTCCCTCTGTTTGGCAGGAGCACAGCTGTGTGAGGGAGCGAGTTAGCGGGCGACCGGCCCTGGAGGGGCTGTGGGCTTGTCGCAGGGCCTGGGCCCCCCCATCCCTCTCCCAGGGAGCCCTAAACTATGTGTTTCTGTGAAGAACCTGGGGAGAATGGACTTGCAGGCAGTGAAAATAAGCGACTGAAGACCACGTGTGAGACAGGAGCAGGCTCCTCGCATAGGCGAATGAACCGCAGGGACTGTGGAGTCTCGGATTCCGTTGTCAGGGGTTACCGGTGACACCGCGGTCTGCTGTTCCCCTCCCGGCCTCCGGAGGAAGCGCCGTTACATCAACTCCCCTTCCCTCCCACCCCGACGCAGACGCATGTGTTGCCATGGCGCCTCTTCTCTGGACCATTCTTGGCCCTCGGTAGGCCTTTCCCATCAGACCCTGCAGTCGGGGGCTGCAGGAGCTCTGCCAGCTGAAGCAGAGGGATCACACCCACTCTCTGTGTGACTGCGGACACCTGTCACTGCTCCCGGTCTCAAGAAAAACAGATCGTCAAAACCAGGCAAGAGTAACCGAAGAGAGACTAACAGTGCTTATTCTGGTCTAATAAACCTTACATTTGGTGTTTACAGCGCATTCAACATCTCCAGTATGTATACACATTATACATACACGCACATAATCGCACAGTTTCCTCACAGACTGGCCTGGGCTCTCTCGGTGTCAAGAGGCGCGTGGTTGGTTTGAAGAGCAGGAGACGGGCTTCCATCGCCACCCCTGGCCGGAACAATGCCCAGACCTCAGTCCTGCTGGGACTCTCTCTGAGGTGCGATGCGCAATCCAGCCCCCACACACCAGCGGAAATTTGCATTTCAACTGAAGGCGTTCCTACAAGATGAGTGGCACCGGACTGGGCCTCCAGAGGAAGAGGAATTGTATAGACCAGGACTCGGAGAAGCTGGATTTGTGGTCCAACAAGCTATTTTGATCTCAAATAATATTCATCAGGAATAATCCTGTATTGCTCTGGGATATACTTATTCCTGATAAAGCATTGCAAGTCTTGCTATTTTTAAATTTTTGAATTTCACAATCACCTACTGGAATCACAGAAGCAGTGTATTACGTAACCCTTTACATAAGTGTCCGACTCCAGAGACTGACGTTTAAAGCCACCAGAGCGCTTTCTTTGCTCCGTTAATGGTAAATATATTACTGTGAGAGACAGGGACAGCAGGATCTATCCCTGAAGGATGCTTTAAAAGCAACAAGTTTAATTAGAAATGGTGTGTCTGGAGAATGACTGCCTGAGCATCTCACAAGCACCAGTTCCAGAGGTTTTCCGAGGTGTCTGTCCTGTTCCCTTGTGCTGGACTCTTGTCTTATCAGAGCTTCGTTTATTTTTGTAAACGTTTTTGACCTTTCTACAATGGAGCGAATATACTAGACTGCCCTCTCATTGCTGAAGTTTTCAGAAGTGCCATCGAGCACTTCACCTGTATACAGACCTGCACATGAGTTTCCGGGATTGTGTCTCAGTTTTTAGGGAACATAATGGTGCAAAACATGAACTCCTTCTCTCTGAACTGTGCTGCTTTCCTTTGAGAACAAGGCCAAGGGACCAAGACTTTACTGTACTGCCAAACTCCAAATCTGGCGTCATTGACATGGTCTTAATGCAGCCTGATGGGAAGTATTAACTCACATGATACAGGAATACACTCTCCCTTTTCTTCTAGTGCAGCGACTTGTGTACTCTACCATTACTCCTGTCCAAATGTCCTGAATTAACCTTCTCTACCTCACAGCATCCTGTATTTTTTTTAACTTCTCATAAATGACTGTGGAATAACGCTTGGAGGTTCCTACGGTACGCTGCGACTGTGAGTTGAAGAGTCACTCTTTGTGATTTTTTTTTAAAGTTTTTTTTTCCCAATTCTTAAATGTAGACTACTTGACTTTAAAGAGCACACTAGAAAAACAAGTTCTGTTTAGTGAAAAAACAAATACACAGTGGAAAAGAATTGCAGTGATTCATCTTTTAGCGCTACAGAACATGGACTTCATCCCAAATTTGGATAAAGGGAAGATGGAAGAAATTGTACTTGAATTGCTCTCATGGATATCTAATACTGCCTGGCCTCTGGAGGAGCAAGCGAACGATTTCCTCTTCAGCTAAGAAACTTCATGTAATATCATCTCGATGGGGCAGCTAGACAAAGCTAAAACGATCTGGTGTGTGTCATGACAGCTGAGAGTGCTGGTTTCTCACATGTTCTGGAGTTCAACATTTTTTTCCAGGTTTGGCAGGGTTTTGGCACATGGGAGTGTTTTAAACCTTTACTAAGAGGGTGGGTTTGCTACAGCTGATGTAACACGGCTCACTTTCATTACTGCTGGTGAATAATAGCTAGCAAACTGCCCAGCTCATACTCGCCAGTTTATTGCTGGCAATCATTAGGTTTAGGGATTTTTCAGTGCTGCTTTCACCGAAAACAAAGCAGGGCCTGCAGTGGTGCGGGGGGCGAGTATTGCTGACTCATAACCCTGGGGCCCTGGGTCTAATTCCTGGGGTGCTGTCTGCGTGGAGTTTGTATGCTCCTTCCTGTGTTTGCATGGGTTTCCCCCTGTTGCTCCAATTTCCTCCCACAGTGCAAAGACATGTTGGTGGTTAATTGGCATCTTGGAAAACTGGGCCTGCTGTGAGTGTGGGTTTTTGTCTGTGCGTGCCCTGAAATGGATTGTGCCACTGTGCCCATTGCCTGCTGACACATCACCTCCGGCTTCCCTGCAACTGCGGATGGAGAGGTTAGAAAAATAGAGGGATGGCTGAAAGCACAATAGTTCGACGAGGAGCAGAGGAGCCAAGCTCCAGTCCTTAAGTGCTGCTGCTTACAAGTCTAACTAAACCTCTAGCTTCTGAAGAACAAGGAGAGGCTTCAACTTGTCGAAGAAAGCAAATAAGGAGTTTGATTCGGTAATTAAGTGCTCCTGTGGAAAGAGAAACCATCTGGGTCTGTAGGACTGTTCTGTCTCCCTCTGGTGTGATGATGAGAGTGATCTGTGGTTTGATTTCTCACTCGGTTACAAGGCGTCTCGAACCCTGGTTCTGGGGATCCTCAGTCCAGAAGTCTTTACAGTTCACCATGAAGTCAGATATGGAACAATTCTAGTATGATCAATTAAACAGGTGGTTTGTTTCATTAAATAATTTGGGGAACCATTCAAGACTGAAGTTCTCTTTAGCCCTCAGGGACCAGCGTTCTCTTGATTGAATTGATCATTTGATTGATTCATCAAAAGCCTACTGGAGACCTATAATTCTAAGGGGATTGGGGCTCTCCAGGACCGGGGTTCGACACCCCTGCCCTCCATTTCCTAGTGAGTAAATTCACCTTTACCTTTCTTACACAAAGATCTAATATTACGATTTCAGTTTACCCCTAGTCAATACAGGGGAAATTAGTTTTTTTTTGCTGTTTGGCTGCAGCTTTTTTCAGAATGTTACACATGAAAGGATAAAAGAGTTTTCCATGTGTCAGACAACAGCTGTCGGAGCCGTTCCAGTAATTTATGGAAATAGAATGCTCTCATTCAGTACTGTTAAAAATGGTGCTTTTATGATGGACTTGAAGCATGTTCAGGCGGCGTGGAGCTTGTCAGCATCCCACATGCTTGTCTCCAAATGTCTTTTTTCTTGGCGTTCCGCTTTTCTCCTTCAGACACTGAGAGTCCCTTTGAAGGCCTGTCAACTCTCCCTGGGCTGCCCTGTGGGCATCTCGTGGCACAGAAGTGACCTCAGCACAGTAAAGGCCTCTGGTGCCCCTAGCAGCTGTTCTTCAGCTACACACATCCCTCGTGCTCCTGATGTTCTCGAGCAGGCCGGCGTTCTAGAGCAGCGGCCTCAAACGCAGACCCTGGGGGCCGTGAAATCCTTCAGACGTTCATTTCCCAGCTTGTTACATGTCTTGTTTGTTTATATTCTCCCTCCCGGAGATCAATTACTCAGAAACCACACTTGATGATTATGTTTCTGTACGGAACCTTGAACGACTTGTGGGGCTGGAGAGAAGGGTGGCCTTTTTCCAGGCAGATTGAAAAGGCAATAAAAGAACAAAACTCGGGAGGAACGAGAAAGGCAGGAGGCACTGAGGGCCCCCCCAGGTACTGGGTTTGAGGACCCTGGTCTGTTAGCTGGGATTATTGAAGTGAAATGCAGTCATTCATAAATTCATATCCAGTACAGGTGCAGCAGGTACTGTGGGATAGTAGTTGAGCACCTCACTCTCTCCGTCTCGAACTGTTAAAGCAGGGCTGTGGGAAGACCAGTGCCCTGACGTGGAGCGTTTACATGCTCTTATGTAACCAGGGGCAATGAAGTAACTGGAAATGTGTGGGTACAAGGGACAGAGTGGAGTGACGAAAACACTCTGCAGCTGAAAACCCATGGGATGCGTGCAAATGTAGGGTAAAACCAAGTAAAAATGTTGCAGAAATCACCTGAAGTTAAACTTCTCTTTGCTCTGTTTCTTGAGATTGATAGGGGTGCGCGTAGTGTTTGTTAAAACACAACCGTCAGCAGCTGAAGTAAAAGAAAAAATAATGCATATTCAATACTTACAGGTGTCTTCAGTTTACTTTATGAATTGGGCTCTCTAATTTACAGCAAGAAACAGAAGCTGAAAAGAAAGCGCTCCGATTGTCAAAAATCTGCTTTTCTGTTCGGACAGTTATCGGAGGCTAGGGCAGTTGGAGGTCCAGACATTTCCGAGTCTCTCCGTGTATTTCTGAAAGTTCCTTCAGAAGTTCTGTCCTGAGCTCCAGATCTGAACTTCCACTTTGTGACTTTAGAAAATATGCCTCTGCCTTCCTTAAAGTAACAATTAGCATTCATATGTGGGCAAAGCCTTCATTTTTGGGGTGTATTTTTCCATTGTCCTACAGGACGTTTATTAATCTTAGTATTGAAGTAATTATTTTGTAAAACATTTTCAATGTCCATACGTGTATATTTTTACAAGTCTGTGCCTTAATGGACCATCAGTATTCTTGGCTTGTTTTGTTTCTATATAAACATATACCTGGAAATGTGATTAATGGAACCAAAGGAGCTCCTACATTTTATCTTTGTTTTTAATTATTCAACATTTAGAGCACTGCACTCGCGGGTAGGAATGGAGCAGTAAACCTGATTTACTAGGTAAATAAATCTCTATGGCTTCCATGTTTTGCACAGCTGAGGCAGAAATGAACTGTGTTGTCTGCAACACACAGCTTCAGGCTTTACTCTTGATCATAAAACATGAAGGTACAATATTAAAAACCATTCTTTTAATGCACCACAGCTTTGGCAGCGCAGGGTGGAACAGAAAACACTGTGGGTTTATGTGACAGTATGTGCCCCAGCGGAGTTTCCTTTAGGGGCTGACAAAAAGAAGCCATAATGAAAATCAGAGCAGAACTGTAAAAAGTCCAGTGTTGTCACTTAGATTTTACGTTATTCCGCGCAACTGGTAAATGGGTTATGTACTGTACTGTGGAGCAACTGTACATGTGCTCTGTTCAGATCATCAAACGATTACATCCTACATCTGCTTCCCAGGAGGTGAAGAAGACAAATATCTGTACAGACCCACAAGTGAAGGTGCTGCAGTTCACAGGAATGTCTGCTGTGCATCACCTGGCTGCAGTGACAAGCATTTGCCAACGTTTGTTGGACGTGAATGTAATTCTTGACAATCCACTGTCGAGATATTGCTGTTAAGACTTTTAGCCTTGTTTGGGTCCCTCTTTATTTATTTTTAATGTCGGAACATAGGCCAGTGTAAGTACTGTACAATAAAACACAATGAAATCCCAGTGCACTGTGTGTGTTTTGTTTTTAAACCAACCTCACACCCCTCCACCTCTGTGATTGCCCACCAGAACAGTGGGAGCCCAAGGCAGGGCCGCGATGCGTAAATACTCACAATCCCTGGTATGACGTGTGATGCTCTTCCTGCCTATTGGTGAGGCAGGCTTGATGGGAACTGAGAATTCCCATTTCTGCATCTGCTTGGCCGAACACCAGGAGCAGAGCCACTCGACTCGCAACGCTGGTCTCCTGTTGCACAGCTGAGCTGACTGAAGCAAGGGAAGTCAAGTACACAGCACACAACAGCCTACCTGCAGCCCTCGAGACATACCACTGGAGCAGAAGCCATGTCTCCCAGCTGTGCCCCCTTTCCACGAGCTCCACTCCCCTTTGGACAGAAATACTCGAAACACACTACCAAGAAACGCAGCAGCACCCAAACAAAAACGTTCGGAGGTTTCAGAAAGTCTTTTTATTAACATACATCAGCACTTAGCATGTCACAAAAAAATCTTGTGCTTATTTCGAAAAACAGAGTGCATGAGGTGCGGACAGAAGGAAAAAGAGTAAGAATGAAAGGAAATCACTCGAAACGAGCAAAGAAACAGGCTAGCCTGGCAGGAGGGGCGGTTATGTCCTAGCGCTCTGAAGGAGAGGGGAAATGGAATAATAAACACTACCATGAAGTTTAAAAGAGAAGAATAATACATTAAAATGATTTCAAAAGCTCCACGGTTAACGTTAAAGATGCTGGCTCCTGCGTATAACGCTTGATGGATATCAAAGCTAAAAGAAAAGTAGAAATCACACACTCCCTAACACTGCCCAACAATGACCACACAATCCCACAACACACTTCCAGTATGTCATACAGGCCACAATTGCAAGTTATGTCAGTATTACAATTACAGTTATTAATACAACTGCGCTACCTAGGTTATTCTTATTGCTTGTTCTGCTCAAATCCCCGCGCCCTGAAACATTTTTGCCCGTGTTTAAAACTGTGGAAACAGTACTTTCCTGGCCACAAGCCTGCTATTATAGGAGTGAATCTTGTACCT